TTTTTTTTAACAAAGAGTAATAACTTCACAAATGTAGCTATTGCTCATTGTTAATGCTAGTGCATTAACTAAGGTTAACTAATGAGACCTTATTGTAAAGTGTTACCTATTATTCTTTAATTCTTTTGCACTTTTATCTCTTTGAAACATTTGTTTACTTTATACACTTTTGTGTATTGCGTTATTGTTTTTAAATGTTCAGTTCTTTTTTTCTTATAAGAAAAAAGTTATTAAACCTGATTATATTGACAACTTTTTTGCAACTTATTTCAATATCGTGATAATACCGTGTACCGTCATAAAAGCTTCAGCAATTATCACAACATGAACATTTTACACTGTCACATGCCTACAGCAGACTAATTGGTAAGGTCCAATTTTGTGTATGCAAGTACACAAAATATATTTTCACAGCTTGCTGACCTATCTTTCAGAAAGAAATGGCTAGATTTTCTTTCATAATGCCAGGAATAGGCCACAGTATGAAATTGGCAGCATCTTTTGGGCTGCCAGGTGGAGAAGCTGAGGGGATCGGCCAGGGCACCACAGAGTAGACAGCTGCCTTGCTTTTCTCCATGCTGACCTCAAAGTATCACACCCAGTCCCTCCCTGGCAATGAAACACTCACGCGGCTGTAAGCAATTGTCTCATGCCTTTGAAATGTCTCTACCAATAGCAACAAATATCATTACCCTACCCTTGATATGCCCACTTTACATTTAGAACTGCATTTTCAAAATATCTTTTTATCATGTGTAATAATGTGATTACAATGTACAACAGAGTACATAGTGAACAAGCGATCTTACCTGACTTTGGAGCTCACTTTGCTGTCTCAGCCGTAGGTTCTCAGGGGTGTCTGTCACAATTGTAAAGGTCTGTTTTGGATAGTGCCTTTTTGGAGAAAGGAAGGGAGTCATTTTGGGCTTTTGGTCTCTACCATATTTATATTCTATCAAATAAATACAATTCAGGCTACTATTTTATGTATGTTCAACACATTACCAATGTATATGAACCTGCAATTGAGTATTTTTGGCATTAACATACGCGTTGCAGTAGGGCTTCTTCTCATATCCCTTGTAGTTGTTCATGTTGAGAGTCATTTTACACACCTCACAATGGAAGCATCCTTTGTGCCAATACTGTCAAATGTAGAGAGATGGAAACTGCACATAAAGCTCAATCCATGAGCGATATCTATGAAAGAACGTTATACACAAGTATGCATAGATTTTTAGTTATAAGCGTTGGAAGTAACTTAAGAAAATACCTTGTCCAGGCAGTTCACTTTCTCTGTTGCGTAGACTATTTTCCCACAGCGCGCGCAATGAGGATTCATTTTTAAGCTTTTGCGATGGTCAGGGAAAAAGCATAACTTCTCCAGTTACTCCGATAATCCACCAGCTTCTTGTAAAATATCTCAGATATGTTAGATTTGCTGCAGCATGCGGTGAGTTTATGTCGCAGAGCTTTAAATTCGCATGGCTCGCGTGTGTTTATCAGCGTGCTGCTGGTCTCGCAGTGAGGGAACTGGAGC